CTCTCTCTCTCTCACTCTCCCCCATCTATCTATCTATGTAGTGTTTCAAAAATCAACTCGGTGAAGGTACTAGGTATGTGGCAGAGACAAGGAACTCGGCCAACCGGTGTGGACTTGGTTGAGTTATGTACAAAAACAAAATAGTGAAAAAAGTTAAAAAAGGGTAAAGAAAAAAGTTGAAAAATTAAAATAGTTAATAGGAATCATTAGAAGATTAAAAAGATAAAAAAAAAAATCAATAAATGATATTTTATTGAAAATTTTGATCTAGAACTTGAATATTTTAAAAAAATGTAAAGAAAGTGAATAAATATGAAAGTTTCCAAATCATCTTCAAAAACTATCAAAACTATCAAAAAAATTAATTCTAACTAGTACAATGGTGTTTCCCCCTTTTTTTAGTAGTTTCCTTTTTCTTTTTTAAGAGCTCTAGAAGGGTGGGGCTAGTTGCTATGGAACTCGTCCGAACTTGGCCTCGGACCATCTCGCACGAGTTTGAGTGGACTTGGGCGAGTCCAAGAAAACTATATCTATTTATCTAAATCTCGTTTATTTATGGGATTGTATATAATGAGACCATTTACTTTTGGTATAGGGAGTTCACAATTACTAGCAACCATCCAATGTGAAATCTAATAGTTTAAGTGTCACAAAGTTCAAGAAAATTTCTATTGAACTTTGAGCATGGTTAATGAAATAAATGCAGCCAATGGTACCACCTTGGACCAAATGTAAATAATCTCATTATATACTTTCCCTTAATTTATAAGTCTTTGAGCATCCCAACAACTGATTTCTCCTGATTGAAGGTGGAATAATTTATCCATTTCCTTTTTGATTGGTAAATAACTCGTTCACTGTTGGACATTAGAAAAATATACATTTATAATTACTAGTCAACTCACAAGGAAACATTATCAGCTTTATTGCATAGAATTTTTCTAGTTTAGCAGTTCACATTTCCATCATACTCCTTTTAGTCACATATCATGGGTATCGTTATATTTTTAATCTTCTTATATCTATTGTACTTTCCACTTAGAAAGTGAGTTTAATCTGATGATATGACTAAGAATTGCCTATTTGAATGACTAATGTTGCAGTTGCAATCCATTCCTTCAGGGGAGATTCTACTGGATTTGGTAGTTATTGGATGTGGTCCAGCTGGTCTCTCACTTGCTGCTGAATCAGCCAAGGAAGGCTTGAGTGTTGGACTTATCGGACCTGATCTGCCATTTACAAATAATTACGGTGTCTGGGAGGATGAATTTAAAGGTATATGTTAGTGCATGTAATAATCCCAATGTTAAACAGTGCTCTGAATTTTAGTTCAAGTTCTCTGCTTGTCATGTACCTGCGAATAGGACCGAGGAAAGTAATGTTGTGTTATAGCTAAGTTGTTACGTGTATATTTCATAGAAGATCATACAAATACTGTGCTTTGCTGTGAATTTAGTGAAATTCACTGGCTTTATATCCTTGAGATCTCTCCTAATCAGATTTTTTACGTGCTTCTTCCATATCTTGTTGTCAGTGGGTATAGAGAATTAGGTTTTAGTGGGGCCCTAAGTCCATGAGACACTCCAATAAGCAATATGCCTTTTGACCTCTAGTAGTTTCTTCTTTTGCATGCATGTCATAATAGTGTAATGCCACCATTCATCAACATGTTTTGCGAGATCTTGAATGATTCTGTAGAATGATAGCAAAGGAAAAACCGTAATACATTCTATAAGATGACCTTGCAGTGTTTAAGTTCATTTAAGAATGTAAAACTAGGAAATGATAGTATAGTACACTTGCTTTCTTACTTTCTGGGTAAACGTTTCTGGATAGTTTCTGCCTTAAGTGTAGTAGTATGGATGATCTGAGATTTCTCAGGTCTATGTGGTTATTCTAAACTACTATCTTGGCCAACATTTTTACATGTAATTTTGAATGTTTCTCCTTGAATCACATATTCGGAGTAAATTTAATTTGCATGTTAGAAATTTGCACGTTTTGTGACATCTAAAACTATATATTTCTTTCTGTAAGCTGGCAGGCATTTGTTTGGGAATCCCCTCCTGGTTGTATTAATCTCAAAGAGTGTGCAGGTTAGGCCTAAGACTATGAACTCTATGGTTTATAGCCCAGTTGTGAGTACGAGTGCAAAGTGTTGTCATGAGGCATAACTTTATACTGTGATTTAGGAGAGTCTATATGTGCAATTTCTATAGTGTGTGAATTCTATGACAATTTAGCACTATCTACACTTGTAGTATTCCCATGTCTGATTTTTATACTCCTATCAAACTTTATTAATTGGATTGCACTTGTTACTCCTTTCAGATCTGGGACTTGAAGGGTGCATTGAACATGTTTGGCAGGATACTGCAGTTTATTTGGATAGTAATGAGCCTCTCCTTATCGGTCGTTCTTATGGTCGTGTTAGTCGAAATTTACTACATGAAGAGTTATTAAGACGGTAAACCTGATTATTTCTGACAAGTTCTGATCTTGGATATATTTGGAAAGTTTGTCTTACTTTGAATTAATTGCTTTCAGGTGTTTCGAGCATGGGGTTACATACATGAATTCTAAAGTGGAAAAAATTATTGAAGAGTGTGATAGTCACAGTATTGTTGTTTGCGAAAACGAAGTGGTTGTTCCTTGCAGGTACATACTAGAAACATCTAGCAACCAACTTAAGATAAATAGTTTCTGATGTACTTATTGCCTTGGAACAGGCTCGCTGTTGTTGCCTCAGGGGCAGCTTCTGGCAAACTTTTAAAGTACGAGGCCGGTGGTCCAAGAGTTAGTGTGCAGACTGCTTATGGTATTGAGGTTGAGGTAAGTCATTATTCATATTTTGCATTGCTTTCTTATTAAGGATCAATGTTGGATGTCTTTATGATAACTTAACATAGAATAAAATAAAATATAGAGTAAGATAACATTTAGGACATTTTATCTCATCACATAAACAATTTCATGTTTGAAGGGTTTCATGTCTTAGAAGTAGCTTAAGTTTTAATTTGCTGACATACTGGATTTGGAGCAAATGGGATATCTGGAGCAACAATTGAGCATGATTTACCATACTTCATTAGAAAAATGTCATATCTTGAAGGAAAGAATCATTATCTCAGTAGGGTTTATTTTTGAGTTCTTCTGCTATAGGTATCATCTTATACCTCATTCTATAATGAATTTCTATTATTTCATTGGTTGAGCCCTCAATTGTAACAGCAATATTAACAATCACATAGAGTCAATTAGTGGCATGATTACTATTTGATGGACAACGAATGATGAATCTGACATTGAAACGACACCTTTATGTGCTTCTAGAGTCTTGTATGTTTTGCATTATATGAATGGAAGCAATTATGAGAAATAAGAATGCTTGTCCTGCAGATATATTTTTGTCCAACTCTGTCTACAAGTGTCATTAACAAGGTTTGGTCGCCTGGAAGCTCCCTCTCTGTTGATCATCATAGGGAAGCTCTCTTTTGTTTCATTACATGAACAAACAATTTCAATACTGGCATATTCGAACTACTAATTTTGTAAGATTTGAAACAAATTGGACTTGATCAAGCTTTGCTTACTGTCAAGTCTCTATAATTTCTATCACATAAACACTTCATTTCGAAAGATCCCTAGGATGCACTTGTGAAATTTGAAGTGCGAAAGCTATTTTCCATTAGGATTTCTTCATGTGTCAAGCTATGAACTATTACTTTGGGTAGTTAGGAGTGGGATTTGAACTTGGGACTAATGTTGTAATTTGTCAACATGCTAAGCATTTATGTCCAGTGCCTATTCTTATGTTCAAACTATGAACTAGATGGGAACAGTAAATCTCTTTTATGGAAATTGGAATATAGGATTTTTTATGCATGATTTAGTGGCAAAATGAGTAGGCTGCACTAAGGTGGCGACCTTACTTGTAGAAATATATGGTTGTAGTGTTTTGCATCGTCTAATTTTAGTTGGATGGTGTAGATTCATGTCTTTTAAAATAGTGCTAAAATCTGGAATATTATTTAAAATAGTGCCAAATATACATTGTCTAAATAAACTGGATGGTATAGACTACTGCATACAAGTAAGATTGCTATCCTATATATGTTTTGCTATATTTTGTGTGTGTGTGTGTGTATTTATGTATGTAGGTAAATCGATATATGTATTCATGTATGTATGTATGTATATGTTGTTTACGCGTGATTTTGAGACCGACCAGACTAATCAAAGTCCAATTTGTCTGAGATTGTGTCTAACCCTAATATGTAAATAGTCGAAATAGGTGGACTCATCGAATTCAGATCTACAAAAGAAATTAGTCTAAGAAGACCTATTCTTTCCAAATCTACTGTTGAGCTAGCTTAGGTAATGTGCAACCCCAAAAGAAATAGAAATAAAGAAATAAGAATAACAATCTAACTAAAGCAGATGAAGTTGAATAAAGCAACAGGCATTATAAAGGAAAAACAAGAAAAACAAATTCTACTAAAGAAAATAAAGATGAATAATAATGAAAATAAAGATAAAGCCTAATTAAACTAAAGAATCTAATAAAGGAATAAAAGACATATAAAGCAATGAGGAATGATAGATCTAATACAGAAAATAATGAGGAAAATAATACCGAAAAAAATGAAATAAATGGAAGAAAGAGCCTGGAAGGAGTTGGGCTCAGATTAGATAGAAAATTTGAAGTCGTTATTCCTTGATCTTCGATATTGATGGTCTTGAACGATTGCTTGCACTCCACGGAAGGGCTGTGTCCTCTTTGAGGTAGGGCTTAGTCAGTTTCTTATAGAGATCCCCCACCTGAACCGAGAGGCAATACTTGTGTGAGGTAAACCACTAAGGATTCATATGCTTAGTAGGATTATAGAAATACTCAAGCAAAACATCTCCTCCTAATGGCCATGGATGATTTCCATGCTCCCAAGTACGAGACCCCAAAGACTGAAAAAGAAATCCATCTTAAACTTGAAATAAGGTTATGTTGCTTCTTCTTTGATAAGAAATACTCTTGCAATGAAATAGTACTCAGACCTAAATATGAAAAGAAGAAAGATAGGAGATCACATCCAGACATTTAGAGCACTGGTCCTAGATCTTGAGGTGGCGCAAGTAATGCATGATGAGAAAATACAAGTGTGCCACCTGCTCAAGACACTATTGAGTTCCTAGGAAACCTTTATCTCAGCTCTCACAGTACAAGAGAGTATGCCAAAACTGGATGAGATCATCACTAAGCTTGAAGCAGAAGATAGAAAGATGACTCGTGATACTCTAGACACTAAAGACTCTATCATCATCATCATCATCGTCAAATCCTTTTTCCAACTAAATAGAGTCGGCTACTCGAATCCTGGTCTGTCATTCTGCTCTATTAAGGGCCGTACCCTCAGTGAAGCCATGAGTCCCCATATACTTTCTTACTATTTTCAATCATGTCCTTTTTGGCCTACCATTACCTTTTTTGAATCTTCCACTTGAACTAACTCATACCTCCTAACAAGTGTTGTATTGGGTCCGCACAATACATGGCCAGCCCACCTAAGCTTACTCTCTTTCGTCGACATATAATGACCCTTTCCTCAAGGGGTTCTCAAAAGTGTTTATGTAATATATCAAATGCATGCAAAGACTTAGTTTCAGTGCACAACTATTATATTTTGACTAATGCAATAACCTACAAGTCTCAGGATTGTATTTACAATATTTGGGTTGAAGAAGTTTGCAGGATTAATGCAAATTTCATGTTAGCACGCTTCAACATTTGAGGACGAGTTTCCTTCGACTGGTGGAGAATGATGGAGAGCAAAGCTGCTCCTATTTTCAATATTTGTTTTATTTTGAAGGATTTATCTATTTTAAACTTAAAGTTTATTTTTTAAGTTCTTAAGTTCTTTTTAGGGAGTCTATGATTTTTTATATTTTGTAGGATTTTAGGAGATGTTTAAAAAAGTGGTTAGAATACGTATGGAATTACTTGCTTTATTAAGGGGAAAGTGTCATTACAAATTTTTTTAAGTGAGGGAACTTATGGGGTATTTTTATAATGTTTCACTTAAGTGGGGGAAGTTTTGGTATTTTTTATTATAATGTAATAAAAAGACCTGGTGTGTTAAGTTTCTAACACTTTTGGAGCGTGAATAGTAAAAACAAATTGTGAATAGTGCCAACAAGCCCTAGGTTTTGGGGTCACTTGTTGTACAAGAAAAGCCAAATCCACTCAAATCTAAACTATTTTGATAGTTATTGAACTGTTTTTTGCCTCTTTTCTCTATTTTCCTGCATCATTGGCCTTCTTTCATATCCTTCTCAGCTTGCATGGGGACTTGTGACCTCGTCCCTCGCATCGCGCAAGAGCCCAAATGGATGTGAAAACTAGGCTTTTTCTTATAGCAAAGCATTCACTTTGAATGGATGTTCTATTCTAGGCAAATCCATCAAATTACTTATGATGACAGATTAATCTCAGGATCAATGATGTCAAGGTAAGTAAACTTATCCACAAGTATTGATGTGTCTAGGATCACTAAAAGATTATTCAAAATGAGATGGAAAATTCGGGAGTTTAGCTCAATGGAATATTTTGTCTGGAATTTATCTTACATGTTGGTGTGAGCAAATCAAGAACATATTTTCATTGTGAAAAGTATTGCGGGATCCTTGACATTGATACCTTATTTTATTGAGATTAGAATGTTCACTTCATCATTACCTAGCACAATAGTATCATCCAGATAAACAAAGTAATGGTACTCTATCTGCTTCTCTTTAAAAGCATCAAATATTCTGAAACACTTCTTAGTTACCATACTTTTGTTTTGTTCACATGTTGAATCGATCAATTTTTTTCTTGTATGTCCACTGAAGCGAACTTATTGCCAACTTTAGCTTACAAACCAATTCTTTTGTTTCTCTTCCAATAAGGAGGAGTATGCATCATATACACTTCCTCTAGGTGTTCTCTGTAAATTCATTTTGTCATCCAAATGATTGAATTTTACAGAAAAATAACATTACTGTGTTCATATGGATAAAAATTTGATTATGTCAACCATGATCTGATGGGAAAACAGCATTGACCAATTTCTGAAATCTGAAAATAAATGTCCAAAAGAAAATAAAAATGATTGGAGTTGTATGCAAGATTTGGTAACTGCATTTATGACATCACCCGCCTTGCAAGCCTTTCAACAGTTATTTGTAGCAACAATATCCTTAGGTATTTGTTGCTAAGTAAAACATACCGATAATGTGATATATCCAATAGAAAATAATGCAATGGAAACCATACAATGGCATGCTGACCTGAGAGTCACTTTATGATCATTATAGCTTTGTTATTTACCTGAGACAAGTTGCTCGCCAAAATCTCTTGTATATTCAAGTAGAAGACAAAATGTCTTTCTAAATATCTGATATAAATGAAAAGAACATACATTTTTTGAGAATTGGTCAGAGTGGTACTTGAAACTCTTGGTTTTCCAATACAATGATAACGTAGGAACAAATTGCAAGAAAAGAACTGATTATGATTACTTAAATAGAGTACTTTCATAATCATTTCTAGATGGATATCAAATCAAATATAATTGGGACTTTAAGGGAAGATTATTGCTTCTGACTGAAACGCTTATTGGAAAATGCATGACACCATAAATGTAAAACAGAGAAAAATAGGAAGCTACCATGTGTTATGTGTTGTGTTGTTTCAGTTTATTATTTTCTTGTCTTGCTTATTTTGTATATGTCATGTTCTCTTGTTTTCTTACCGAAGTTATGAAACTCACTTTCATGATTCTCCTAGAGTTTGAAACAAAAAGTAATCCCTGAAATTTTATATATTCATCCTTCTTCTTCTATGAATTTCAGGTGAAAAATAATCCCTATGATCCCAGGTTAATGGTTTTCATGGACTACAGAGATAGCATGAATGATGAAGTTCAATATCAGAATTCAGAGTTTCCAACTTTTCTTTATGTCATGCCAATGTCATCCACAAGAGTCTTCTTTGAGGTTTGTCTATAGCTTAATGATATTAGAGCTAATATCCCCTATACATATTTATAAACTATAATTGCCTTGTGACTCACGATAATCTTAGTTTACTACAGGAAACATGTTTAGCTTCTAGAACTGCCATGCCATTTGATCTATTGAAGGAAAGACTGCTACAGCGCTTGGACAAGATGGGCATTGAAGTTTTGAGAACTTATGAGGAGGTGATTCCTTCAGCTTAATCAAACTTTCCTAGTGGTTAGAAATGGTAAAACAAATTTATGTTAAAAATGTTAGTAATTTTTTATACATGCTATTATAATCTCATGAATATGCCTCAATAAGACTTAACAAAGCATATTGTGATACTTAAATTGATTCAAAACATGAAGATTCAATATTTACCATTCACATTTGTAATGAAAATGGTTCGGTTGCTGTAGTTCTTTCTTCTTGGAAAGTTAATTTTCACGTATTCGTAATTTTTGGATACTATGGATAGTTGATGTGCAGGATACTCTACTCCTTTACACTGAAACTGAACCCAAGGGTCAGATGTATGAAGTCAGTTGATGTCAATTTCCAAACTCTTTTCTCTTAGTTCTTGAAATGTTAAAGTATCTCATGTACATTTTTTTTCTTTTAAGATGGGGATTAAAAATTTTGTTTTTGTTGTCTTGATAATGGTAACATCATGTAAAATGTTTATGTGCATTTTTTGTGAACGTTTAAATAAAGGAAACTTTGTTATATGGGTGCAAAAACCTTCTCAAAATTGATGTAAAGTGAGAAGAACCTGTTTAAGGTCAAACAAATACTAAATTATGGAATCCTGGGCTATAGAAGCAAACAAAGGCCAAAACAATCTGCCCCAAACCAACAGCTTATACTTTTCCTAAAAATCAAACCAAATAAATTAAAAAAATCCCTGAAAATAAGAAGGTTCCTTAGTAGTAGAAAGAATTTTCCTAAAATATTACATTGATAGAGAATAACCAACTCTTGCCCAGCAGGACAAACAAAATATATTTGTACTCATAAAGAAGTGAGATGGATGCGGTGGATCAAAATTTGTACTCATAAAGAAGTGAGAGGGAGTGCATCAAATTATAATATATTATACTATGACAATACAAATGATATGTATTAATACTAAAAACCATATTATATAATGTTTAATTAAATATGCAATAGATTGTACAATATAAAATATTGTTACAAGGTAATAAATGTTGTATGCTAATTATATATGATTACCTGGGTCAGGTGGTCGCTTTGACCCTACGGAGTTGGACTTGACCCGTTTTCCTTAAAAAGATGAAAAACGTTTATGGAAGGAAACATACAGACCCTAATACCACTTGATTATATCTTTAATAGCATATTAATGTTGATTATGGCTAACAACATATTACTGATTCCAATGAAACCCCCACTAAACATAGTATGAGTTCAGAAGGGGTAACAACGCAATAAATTCAAGGGAATATATTTTATTTCAATTGAGTTTTGGAGATCTTTATGTTTCAAGATATATTACAGAATGATGATAATTCCCTTAAGCTTGGTTAGAATGATGACACCTCTAGGGAATCAATGTTTCTACCAAATGTTTATATTGCAATTGCAACATATGTGAAAGGTATATACAATGATTGGACACCCAAATACTCTAACAAATGTACAGTAGCAATATATGGCGAATGATAGAGGAAATAGTCGTAGCTTATTTAAGAACTAGAAGGTTTTATTATAATTTTTTTTTATTTCATTTTGTAGGAATGGTCATACATCCCTGTGGGTGGATCCTTGCCTAACACTGATCAGAAGAATCTTGCGTTCGGTGCTGCTGCTAGCATGGTTCATCCTGCCACAGGCAATCAAATTTTAGCTTTAGTAGTGATTTTCTTTTTGAAAGAGAGTGGTTTAGTTAGTTATATAGTTCACACCATTTTTCTCTATTTTTTTCATCTAACAGGCTACTCAGTTGTACGCTCCTTATCTGAGGCCCCAACATATGCTTCCGTGATTGCTAATGTACTAAAGAAAAGTGTCCAAAGTAAAGATATAATACTATATGATAGGCTTATAAAGCGGGTGTCCTTGCAAGGTACGCACTACAAAGTATACATGTAATCTTGGTCCTTAAGACGATCATTTTGGCATAGGAGACAGCATTAACATTGGCAAGATGGTTTAGTTACTCAAGTTTAGGATGCATCTATGTTACTTGGTGGCATTTGGACTTATAGATCAATGCTTACTTGAGGTGAGGGTGCTCTCTTGGTGGTGAATTGTGAACCATGAGGTTTGGGATAGTAATTCTATAGTATACTTTACTGGTGCATGAGATGTTGGGTGCAACCATGCAACACACCCTAATGCTGCATAGTAATTCTATAGTATACTTTACTGGTGCATGAGATATTGGGTGCAACCATGCAACACACCCTAATGCTGCATAGATTTAGGCATTTTCAGTTTGTTTTCATATTTGATTTAGCCCTCCACCTCTTATTTATTGAAAGAAGCATTTGGGTAGGCCTTGGCAACTTTATTAGGTTTGTAAAATCTTATGTGGCATCCCACATGAACACCTCGAATAGGTCCATTTGGGTCACCCTCAACAACTTTCAATCTCTTTAGACAATGATCTTTGTGACTCCAGTAAAGGAAACAATAGCCTAGGAAGATCAATATGATTACAGCCAGCATGGGGCCCTAAACTGGAAAGAAAAAGGTAAATACGATGAAGAATGTGGGCACAAGAGTATTAGAAGTTCTTGAGTCTTTTGTGTTTTCAATTTTCATATTTCATGAAATCGGAGATTATATAATGTATGCATAATAAAATCTTTTAATCCTTCAATCCAATGCTATATGGCTTTGAATTGAAAAAGTGACATGATGTTACAGAAGTTCACATATTTTTCAAACTTTGAATATAAATCAAACTACAACATGAAAAAATGTTTTATCATATGACACCTAAAATATATTTGATCGATATTATTCTCAAAATAATATATTCCATTAGAAAATACAATTTTACATGTTTGTGCTGTACGAAATGAGATTTAGTAATGCAAAAGACTTATCAAATATTTGTAATATTCTTTCGTTATTTTTCAGGTTCCTTTCAAAAAATAAAAAATTGAAATTCACTGATTTTCTAATTAACTCACAAATTCATTGTTTTTCTCTTTGGCAATTTCATAGTTGGGTTAAACTCTTGAAATATGGGCAAAAATGCTTTGTTTTTTTGTTGAGTATGGGTAATACGTGCTGGCTATAGTGCATTTTTGGATTTGAATTACCACTAGGCGATATATGAAAGTCACCTAAGATCAGAATATTTGATGGTTATCAATCCAAAATTAAGTCATTCTTTGTGTTTCCTACACGAGTCAATCCACTGTTCTATATCAAATGCAACTTATCCTCTCTGGACATTGATTGATATCACTCTAATCAATGATATTTAACTATAATTGGTGACTAACATATGAGATGTTATACAAACAACTGCATCATGAATGGTATTGTCTTTCTTTTCCTTTCTTTTGATCAAGTACAAATAAGCAAAATGATGACATCATAAATGGTAAGAAGAATGAACGACTTTTTGGGAAATAATTACCAACTTGAATCCCTAGAAAAGTTTTTTTTACTGAAGTTTCCTAATGTGGTAAGCTTTTCCAATTTGAATCCTTAGAAAAGTCTTTTTACTGCATGTTCCTAATGTGATAAGCTGTCCCTTTTGGTTTTCCAATTTGCATCACCTTCCGTCACTGTGTTGAATACTGATATTATAATTGTGTATTTGGTGGTCTGGGATATTAATCGATACATTGCTTTACATCATATTTTTTATTTTCTTGTTTAGTTTATCGCTTCGCAATGTATCTCCCAAGAATAAACTTCTGGAACCAGTTAAATATGCGGTCCTTCGAAATTTAAATCTGTATTGCTTTATTCGTTAACCTGGATCGTTCCTCATTTTTACTTTGAAATGCACCATGATTATGACTATAGTGAATAAAGATGAGATTCCGCATTGTATTTATTTATTCCATTGGTCTCAGCATGGGAAGCACTTTGGCCACAAGAAAGGAAGCGTCAAAGGGCATTCTTTCTTTTTGGTCTAGAGTTGATTTTACAATTGGACGTTGAAGGTATCAGAGTATTCTTCCAGACCTTTTTCAGTTTACCTAATTGGTATGGCCTTACTTTTAACTTTGGTATATATTGAACCACTTCCTTAGAAAATATGCAACACATGGTATATTTAAGTAATTGCTCTCTTTTAGCCACACTAATCTGACGTACATTTGATAAGAAAAGGCTGTTACTATGTAGAAATTGACTCCTTAGTATGTATTATAACTGCAAACTACTAATTAGTACTTGATCTTACCTTTTCTTTTAGGGAAACTTTACATGTTGCACCCCCCATATTAGAAGAAAAAATATGTGACCCCTATTTCCCAGCCATTGGATTTGAATGGACAGTTGTGATAACTTTAGGCATAATATCCTATTGATTGGATGGCTTAGAGTATTGAAATTTTTTATTTTATTTTATAAAACATTTTCCAGTGAAATTTGGGCATGTATACCTCTCATAAGGGCACACCTATTAAGAATAAGGGAAAAAATATTTTGCTAAAAAATAACATAAATGTCCCTGTGAGGTGATTGCATGCCCCAAGTTCCAGGAAAAATTTATATGTAGAAAAAAAAATTTAAAAATGAAAAAATATTTGGGCATGACATTGTCTAGATTGAATGGCTGGGATAAGGGTCATCTATGTTTTGTATGTGGGTGGCGCTTTATTCATTATTTCTCTAGTTTATAAAACTATGAGGATATTATGATAGTTCATATGGCACGGATTTTGTTACCATGTCTTTAAGAAAATTGATTATGTGAGTAACCCTTCGTTGCTAAGATATAGGTAAGCCAAAGAACAAAAGCTATCATGGTATTATGCAGAAAAGGTGATTACATGCACGTTGCAATGAATATAGTCCACCAAGAAATAAAAAAAGTAATGTGGTATTTTTTTAGGTTGTGGTTTGTATAAAGTTGAGGCCCTAAACAATTAAAGTAAGACGTACCTTCAAATTGTATCGAAAGATTTTGTTTTAGTATTGGAAATCTTGGTGATGCATGAAAATTTATTTTCATCTCTAATTATAAAATTTAAATCTCCAAAAATAGTGTAGATCAAATATATCTATAAACGCTTGAAAAATCTTGAAAATTGACGGTCCAGAAGATGCATTACAAGATATACTTTTTCCAAGACTTGAAATATTTTTTCTCCCATGTTCATACATGTTGAGGTCGAGATATTTGATTTGAGGATTTTTGGAATCGAAACGACCTCTTCTAGTGAATATTTGATGCGCGCCTTAATTTGATTGTTTAGAGTCTCACCTTTATATAAACTTTTTCTATCTTTTTTTATAGTATATCAATGTTGGCGATCTTCATGATTGGTGTTTGTTTGGACTTTCGTTCTATGCATCCATTGAATTGAAATTTAGCACATTGATGATGATGAATATGATGGTGTGTACACAGGATGTGGAAAGGATTTCTTGGTTCCAAACTTTCATCGTTGGAACTCATATGGTTTTCTTTTTATATGTTTCTGATTGCTCCAAGCAGTATGAGAATCAGCTTGGTAAGGCATCTTTTGATTGATCCAAGTGGAGCAGCGTTGGTGAGAGCATATCTTAGCCTATAAATTTTTTTACTTCAACTTTAATTAAAATGTAGGATCCCTGGATAAGTTAACGGTGTAATGGAGGATCGGATGTTGTTGCGGCATCCACCTCCTAACCACCTGTGCTTGACGCCTATGCCCTCCTCTCTCTCTCTCTCTCTCTCTCTCTACCCCTAGTCACCCGTGCTTAATCTTGCCTCTTTCTTTCTCTAGCTCGCTTTTCTTTTTCTTTTTTTTTGGACAATATCAATGAAAATTTTTATTTGTAAAAAATAAAATTACACAATCAAATGACACCAAGGAATTAACATCTTTTGAGACAAAAAGTGAAGAAAAAATAGCGCCCCTCTTAGCCAAAACATCGGCTATCTCATTAGACTCCCTATACACGTGATGAAAAAAAATTGTCAAGGTAGCCACTAGGTTTGAAATCTGAAACAAATAAATCTCAACTGCCAAGACACTTCCTTATTGTATCGTTTAATAACATTCATCAAGTCACCTTACACTGTCAAAAATATCCTACATTCTTTTCCTTAAATAGCTTCAAACCTCATAGAGAGGGGGTTAATTCGGCATGATTGGCCATAGCAATCCCACATGGGAAAGCATAACTAAATATAACATTACCGTTCCAATCTCTTTCAATCCACCCAAGCTAGCCTGTCCTGGATTTTTTAAAGAACTCTCATCAAAGTTGAGCTTGTAACAACCTTGCACCTATGGTTCCCAGCTACTCTTTCGCAGCATTTCATCAGCCCCAATTTGAACTGGTTAAAAAGATTAATAAAATATCAATCTCCATAATACCCCATTCCTCCTTGATAATTGACAGCCAGCACAATAAAGTGTGTTTAATGTCGCTCAAAGGTCTTTCTATAGGCAAGGCTTTACCATCAAAGGTCTAATGATTTCTTTCCTTCCATGCTTCCCAAAGAATTGCTCCCCTAAGAATTTTCCAAATCATCTTTCCCCCTTAGGTAGACCAGGCAAAGACAGTAGTGTAAGAAGGTCTACCGCATTCTAAGGCATAGCTCACATAACCCCCAATTGTATAGGAAGCTCCAACTCCATATCTCCAAAAAAGAAAGACAGTGTGAAAAAAAAACAGCTTCCAATTTTTCCATCTTTCTTACGCATAAGGCAAACATTGGGCATCGCCTTATCTCTTTTAATTAAATTACCCACTGTAAGGATTTTATCTTGTATAACCAACCAAATAAAGGATTGTACTTTGTGAGGAATATGCCATTTCCAAATTCGCGCAGCTTGAGGTAGTGACCAATGTCAACGATCATGAAAAAGAAGTCTATACCTTGACTTAACAGGAAACTACCCATCATTATCCACCTCCCACACAATTTTATTACCTACATTATTTGAAATATATATTTACCAATGCCAACGGTCATGAAAAAGAAGTCTATACCTTGACTTAACAGTAAACTGCTCATCATTCTCCACCTCCCACACATTTTCATCAACCACATTATTTGAAATATATATCGATTCCAAATCATGCATGTAATTGATATATGGTAGTAGATTCTATCAAGTAATATGTTATAACGAAAATTAAGACTCCAAACTAAATGACTACCCAAACTTTCAACCACATCAGTAGCCGTAGTATTTGACTGAGAAGCTTTAGTATTTGACTGAGAAGCTTTATTAAAGAGTTCCAAAAATAAATTTTTAGTGGCCTATCCCCAAAACACTTGAGATTTCAAAAGGAATCATTATTTACTCATACCCACTATCTATTGAACATTCCTATTTACCAAAGGTTTGCAAGACATGAAAGACATGCTGGAATTTCTCCTACCCCTTCCAATCCACATACCTAGCCTATCTTGACCATACTTGGCAATCAAAACTCTATGTCACAACTGATCCTGTAACTGTAAACTCCAACACTATTTACATACGATTACTTTATTAACCAAAGAAATCTTCATAATCTCCAGATTACCCTTACTTTTAGGAGTACACACTTTATTCCACCTTAGCAAATAAAATTTCATCTCCTTCATAAGATTCCTAAAAGAAATTTTGTATCATGCACTCAATCCTTTGAGCAACTGCACTAGATATCTGTAAAGTAGACATCAAATAAATAGGAAGCTTAGCCAAGCATGACTTGAGTAATGTGATTCTACCTCAAAAGAGTGGTACTCAGGCTTCCAAATATCCAATTTGAACTGAACACGTTGGACTACCTTATCCCAGGCTAGAAAGGATAACCTTGAGTCTGAGATAAGTAAACCAATAAAAGTTATTAAGAAAGAGTAAACCTTACAGCCAAAATTCACTTCTGAAATAACCATCACAGTATCATTAGGTAAGGTCTTGATGGCTGCTAGTGGAAATGCCTCCGCCTATTCATTAGTAACCATAATCGATCAAGTTTGGACATGATCAAGTTAGCACTACTATTATTAGATCATGTGAAGTTAACACCCGAAATCAGCAAGTCAAGGGGATTGTGTATCTCAATGAAGCCACTTAACAACTGCATCAGAGAGTTAATCGAACAAGCAAAAGAAGTTTCATCAGGCCATTGAATGAGATTAAAATCACTCCCAATACATAAAGATAAGTTACATTTAAGTTAAATTTCATAAATATCGTTAAAAAAGTATTGTTTTTTAGTAGGAATGTTTGGACCATAAACATTAACTAAGCCCCATGAGAAACCAAATAATGGACCAGAAAGATGATAGACGACATTCTAACACCCCTAACCACCTCAAAACATTGCAAAACCGAGGGGTCCCACAAATCGCATAAGCCCCCAAACGCACCTATAGAGTCAAGACCTACAAAATGATAGCCTCAGAAACCCACACTTTTCTAACCAAAGAAACAACAAGCCCTGGCAATTTAATTTCCTGCAAAATTAGGATGTATGGTTTGAATTTTTTTAACAAAAAACGAACCATCTTTTTTATGTCTCGAATATCCCAGACCCGTTACTTTCTAACTGATAATAATTATTTAAGGATTAGAAGTACAACCTGGTATAGGCACAGTCCGTGAATCTCCTGATGCTCCAATGATGAAGACTCCAATGAAGTACTTGAGAAGCTATTGTCATCGTTATTGATATAAACGTTTCACCTTTGCGAATGACAATTCCACCAGTTGTCCTCCTATTCTTGAAGAACCCCCAGGATGCAAGCTTTCTTGACCTAGTCGGCTAAGCTAACACCGTTCCTCTGCCTTTCCATTTGCCATCTGTAGCTGAACTCTTTACGGTATAACCACCTTTAGCATTGCCATCACCATCTTGGACATTCTTAGTGAATTTATCTGCCTTCAATCTCTCTTTAATGGCATGATAGACAGTGGCAATAGGGTCATCAAAGGAAAGACCCATATCTCCTAGCATGTCAGAGTGAGCCTTCTCTTCAACACCCAAAACACTGTGTCGTTCTTTTGTCGAAACGTCACATTCTTAGTGAATTTATCTGCCTTCAACCTCTCTTTAATGGCTTAATAGACAGTGGCAATAGGGTCATCAAAGGAAAGACCCATACCTCCCAACATGTCAGAGTGAGCCTTCTCTTCAACACCCAAAACACTGTGTCGTTCTTTTGTCGAAACGTCCCCTTCAACATCTACCAACCACAGTTTATTCCCCTCCTGAGTATCAACCATAATCTCTCTTGTGCACACATACATACAACTTGCTTTTTTACACGGCTAATAAGCAAAGGCTTATTTTGGGGCCAACATGCAAGACAACTTCACACTCACACTTGCACAGACTGCAAAGCATGGGCGGTTATAGGATTGCCATCCTATTGCTTTTTAGATCCAGTACGTCCCATGAGTAAGCAGTGATTTGAAAACATGAAGCAGATCCAACTCGGTACCTCGACATGACATGAGCACGAATAACTCAGGACAAAAACCATGGAAGTTACTTTTGAAAATGTCAATTCAGGCTAGTGACAAAATTTGGATCTTTATTTTTTGATAAAACAGTTGCAAACTCTTTTAGATGCATGTAGTCCACTAGTTGTTACCGCATATTCATTTCATGGTCTAAAATGGAGTACATCCCAATAGTGAGGTCCATGAGAACAATTTAATATAAAAATATAAACAAATAATTTTTAATACTGAGGTCCATGAGAACAATTATATAGTGCCGAGGCTCTAAACAATCAATTTAGAGCCTACCTAAAAATTCACTCGAAGAGGTTGTTTTGATGCCCAAATATCCTCAAATGGATCATCTGGACATCAAGATGCATGGACATGAGAAAAAAAAGGATTTCAAGTTTTGGAAATAATGTATTTTGTCACCATTTTTTTACCATAAATTTTTAAGATTTTCAAGTTTTCATAGATATGTTGATCTACACTATTTTGAAGCTTTAAATTTTATAAATAAAGATGAAAATATATTTTAAGTCTAGCACAAAGATTTCCAATATTGAAACTACATTTCTCAACACTATTTGAAAGTAGACTTTGATTTGATTGTTTAGAGCCTAGGCTCTATACAAACCACACCCTAATTTATTATAGAAGTACTTACCCAAAATTATAATAATAAATAGCTACTAAGAAGGACACGGTGGCCCGTCTCCCTCCCAATCATCGTTGTATTTAGTTTCTAAGTTGAGGAAACTGTGCTGAGTATATCGTCTAGATTGGTTGGGGTAGGAGTTTATGGGGGTGATCATGCTGATCACCCAAGTAGTGTTTGCAAAATCGGATCGGAACTGATCACTAGCTGGTTTCGATTTTGGCCGCTTTTGGTGATCCGGCAGGATATTTAAAAAATAATAAAAATAAAAAACGATTACATGAAATTTGAAAAACAAATACCCCTAGGCATAAATAGATTTTTTAAAATCCAGTTTTCACTGATCTTTCAAGTTCATTTGGACGTGTTTTGTTTAATTAAGACTTAAATATAGTTTTCATATTTTTCTAGATTTTTGTGTAATATTTTTATTTTTTTTAACATTTTTTTGACTAGCCGAGACATGCCTGGTTAGGCCAGTTAAACAAGACGGTTTACTAGTTACTCAGTATTGGCCCTTAGCCGATTTCTAAAGCCAGTTAGATTTTTTGAATACTGCAGCTTAGATTCCCACCCCTAGTGCACTCCACAACTTGATGTTAGGGCTCTGCCTCAGGCTCCCTTTTGTCTCACCTCCATAGCTTGAACATCTCCCACCTTTTGCTCAAATTATGGTCTTCTTTCTACTTGCTTACTTAAATCATCATCATCACCATTTTAACCTTTTTCCAATTAATTGGAGTCGACTACATGAATCATGGTTTTCCATTTTGTTCTGTTAAAGGCTATATCTTCAGTGAGGCTTTCAGATTACTTCTAACCACGTCTTTTTCGGCTTACCAAGTTCATACTATAAGTTTATCAGGATTCATGATAAGTTTTGACAAAAATTTACGTTGGCTGTCTACCGAACATAACCATGCCTTTTTACCCAGGTATAAGATGGGTTAAGGAAAAGTTTAAAATCATCACCCTTCTTAAACCAACTTGCTTACCATATCCTCACTGTCTTCATCAAACTCCTTGTCCCTGCTCATCCTTTCTTACAATGCTCACTTATTAGGAAATGGCTTCTCCACCTTGACTAACCAATCTTTAGTTTGATCCCCCAAAAGTAGGCGACTTATGTTGATTAGGTTTGCTTCGTGTATTCCAAGGAATAGCTAACGCCCTGTATGACTTGTTAGGTTTGTTGATAAATTGTGGGTGAAATGGGGCCTGAAGTAACCGACGAGGAATTGATTCAAGAAACAAAAGAATATAGGAAGGGACCTTCCTTTTTTTCAGTTATGCTAAAGCGCTCTCTCAATACTATATTTTTCTCTTTTACTATTAAATAATAGTATGCAAAACAGTCCTGGGGGTATTTGAAAGTAGAAGGTCACACTAATTTAGAGCACCAAAGTTGCATTAAGTAGAGAGAGAGTGCTATAGAAAATATTGGAGGGAGAAGAAAACGAAGTAGAAAGTTATGTTAGAAAATGGAAATTCGTCCACTTTTTATAGAGAGAAAAAGGTGGCAATTCATTGTACTATTAACTATGTAACGGTTGGAAACCCAACCACCCAAACTTCAACGATTAGTAATCAGTTATGCTAAAGCGTTCTCTCAATACTATATTTTTCTCTTTTATTATCAAATAATAGCATGCAAAACAGTCCTCGGGATATTTGAAAGTAGATGGCTACACTAATTTAGAGCACCAACGTTGCTTCAAGCAGACAGGGAGAGTGCAATAGAAAATATCTGACGGAGAAGAAAAACGATGTAGAAAGTTACGTTAGAAAATGAAAATTCGTCCCCTTCTTATATAAAGAGAAAGGTAGCACTATGCAACTATTAGAAACGCAACAGCACAAACTTCAAAGATTAGTAATTGTTGGATGAATTCTTTCAATGGTTCAAACCACCAAGCCAAGAGTCAACAAGCTCCAATGACTGCAACCCAACTGTCGTATCAAAATTGGGTTATGCATGGGCACATAAGCGGTGCATTATGCGCCAATGCAAGTTGCAAAGTATGCGCATCGCATGCTTTGTGTGCTCTACACAAGCACCACGTTCTCCCTTTTATTATGTAAACATAAGGTATGACACTCTTCCCATATAAATACCACTCATTCTGCATTCCATTTTTCAAATGTAGGACCAAAAACCATCACTTCTTTCTCTACAAAAAAAAGCAAATCATTTTTTTTAATACATTGCTTTTCCAAAACATTATGGAACAAAAAAGATATTATTGTAAAATATTAACTAAAATTTTTTTCAAACCAAAAAATACTAAAATTTCCACCACCATTTCAAAATAATATGAAAAAATAGGCAAATGTATACTATTTGTTTATTGTCACAATATATTTCAATTGGAACATTCACTTAGAGTATACACTACAAAGTCCATACAATTCCATAGTAACTTATAGTTTTGAATCATGTAAGTTATCCAATAGACCAGTAGTATAACTCATTATACACATGTGCTTATATCTTGATTTCATATGTGCTCTAGAGGTGTGTCTAATATCATAGGAAACAATCTCAGTGTCTATTCTCATATCCCACTTCCACACTTATAGGTGTGTCCATCAAAAGTGCCCCTATGTATAAAATACCAGACTTACAAACGTCCATAGACATCATTAAGAGCTTAACTCAGCCTACCAACATATAAGTCATCAAACTTATCCACCGTATGAATTTCATTGAAATGGATGCTTAAAATAATTATTCATCCCACTGAGTTTCCTTCAAACTCCTTGTGAACACATATCATTTCATCATCCTTGGCACAAATCTCGTTATCTTTTGGTGTAATGAGGTAGTTCATGTGATCGATGCGATCTTCAAGAAGTTTGATGACCCTCACATGGCCAAGGAAGCATTCCCTGATGGTGGTGAGACTTCAAGCTTGATGATTCGAGAAATCAATAATATAGTTCAGGACCTCTTCATTTTTGCGATCAATATAATCCCACCCGTTTCGACATCGAAGATGAGGAAGACGAAAGGAGCACGGACAAGAGTGAAACTCCACTATAGAGAAATAAGAAGAATATGAATCCGAGTCACTAATAATTATTGGGTTTCCCTTTTTTTTTGGGTAATTAAGTGGGGAAGACAGGCGCTATCCATTTTTTCAACGAGGAGTTTGCTTTTTGAAGGTACAAAGAAACAAGAAGAATTTGAATCTAAGTCATTAATAATTATTGGGTTTCCCTTTTTTTTGGGGTAATTCAATGGGGAAGACACCCTATCCGTAGGGGTGAGAACGGGTCGGATCGGGGATGGATCTGACCAGATCCAAATCTCGATCCGAATAGTATAGATAGGATTTGTGTTCAAACTGGATTTTAGAGATTTGGCTCTGGATCTGAATAATATGCATTGGATCCCGATCTAAAACTGGATCCGAATAGTATACATCAGATCAAGATCCGGATTATATATACATATGAGAAGTTTTTTATGCTTCCCATACAAGATAAAACTTATATACTTCCCCTTATCCACTGTCCACTGAATGGAGGGCTAAGATTGCCCCAATAACAATGTTCACGTTTTTACACTATTTTATTTTTTATGTTTTTTCTATAAACTATTTTGACACCAAATTTTGGAAGTCCAATCTTCTATTAAACTCCTAGTAGTGAAAAATATAAAAAATATATTTCCAATAAAATAAAATGACCAAAATGCCGATGAAAATTTCAAAGGGTATTTTGGTCATATATTTTATCAAAAAAATATTTTTAATATTTTTTATAAGTGCACCCCAATGAGAAGATGGCACATACCAAATTTCATATTCATAAAAATTTTATAAAAAAAACTAAAAATAAAATACTTTGAAACATCGGATCTAAGATCTAACGTTGAGTGGCTCTCTTGATCAAAATTGAACGGCTGGATGATAGGGAAAGCATAGATCTTCTATGTTGTAGGGGAAGTATAAAAATATTAATTACAGACAAACGGCAAACTAACAACATTAATAGAAGTCATCAAATAATGCACTTAACCCAATAAGTTATATGGCTTCATCCGAACGTAGAACAATGGAAGCAGACATAATTGTCCTTTTTAAAAATATATATATATATTATTTAATATATTTTATACATAAAAATATAAATATTTTTAAAATTCCGAAATCTCCTTCGGAGTCGGCCTAAGCACCAAATTGCTTTGTTTTTCCAATCAAAGTGAAGAACGCTCCAACACGAATCTGACAACACTCATCAAGGCACGACCAGATGTAGAGTGAGTTAAAAAGATTCGCCAAAGAGAAAAGTTTTTCCAAATCCATCAAGGCAAAGAAGGAGAAAGGAAATAAACTTGGAAGGCAAAACTAAAGTAATAGCTCAAAGGGCGACAATGCAACCAGGAAGAGGTAGAAAAACATATTTAAAAAGATAAAAAAAAGAAGATCCAAACCTTTGAGCTAAATAGACCTATTGGTGGCTAAGTTCATAATCAAATGAAACCATGCACACGCAAATGCTGAGAAAGAAAGAGACCCAAAGCAAAGAAAACTCAGTATGAACAGAAATGGCAGCTTCTGATCAACACCAAAACCTACCCTAAATATCAAAACGAAAAGCCCCATACCAGAAAATTGAAAGGAAACCACAAGCCAATGCAGCGAACAATTGAATTTCAGCTGATCTCAAGTACTGGTAATATCCGAAGCATACGCACTACCAAGTATGGGATTCTCAAAAACCAAATCAATGTCCTAAGATGAGAGAGAGAGTGTGTGTGTTTGTGTTGAGCAGGGAGCTGGGAACCATGCAGAGAGAGAGTGTGTTAAGCAGGGGGCTGGAACCATGTAGAGAGAGAAGAGAGCGCTCCTTTAGGCCTCTAGGTCGTTTGAAACGTTAGCTTCACTAGCTTCTTTCTCTGCTTTCTTCCTTTTCTAGCTTCTTTCTTCGTCCTCTCCCTTTCTTCTTCTTGCCTGTCTTTCAACAGAGACTCAGTTATATGGGAGACGGAAGACACCAAGGTCTAGAAAGAAAGGAAAGATTACAGAGAAGGGAAAAACGACAATGATAAAGAAGGTAAACAGACGAGGTAGTGAATGAGAAACCGGTACAAGGGAAGAAAAGAGAGCTTAGCACACGTTTTTCCATTCAAAATTATTTACAAAATGAGTCTGACTCAATTTTCTTTGGATAGCAATTTGGGCAGTTTTTGATAACTGAATGCAAACTTCCCTTACACTTTCCGCAAAATTATGTTACAAAGGTGATATTATTATGAAATAGCACAATATTTTCCAAAGCAAAATACATCAATGGCAACTCAGTTCATATATGGTGTAAAAAAAGATTGCTAAAACCCCTAATACAAAGAAGCAGCATGCGATTAAGAACAAAACTTCACCTCTTCCTTGTCTCCCACTTCCTATATTTCCATGTTGGTGCCCTCCTGCACATCTTGATGAACATTGGTTTCATTACAAAACTCGTAGCAAATTATAGTAACAAAAAGACTTTATGTACATACATGACAAAAGGAACCACAAGATATCCTTATCCTGTTTCTTCCTTTCTTGCCACCATTGGGGTTGTGATCAAAAGGCCCTGATTAATAAGGGATGCAGGAAAAGGAGCACGACATCCCCGAATGTGAGATTTGAGGCAAGGGACATTAGGGTGAGCACTCTTGCAACGGTGGCAACGCAATTCCATTGATAAGATGCTCTCAGCCTCATACAATGCTGCCCTTCCATTCTTATCGACCTCTTCAATCACATCACCGGAATCCCTAAAGAAGATCGTGTTGAATGAATTCCAATGTTTCTTGTTTTTCAGGTGAGGGGAATCAAAATCTTGGCTAATAACATGAAGGTGAAGCTGCCGCATTGAAGGAGCCTGCCATATCCGATAAAATGCTACAACGGTGACTCCTAATTAGCAATCAAGACCCACAAGTACAAAAACCAAAAAGGGGGGAGATACATCTCAAAATCCTTTCATATTGGAGCTCTTTCGGTGCTTTAGAAACGGAAATCTAGTGTTTTAGGAACACTGTAGGCAAATTAGGAGTCTTTGAAAAAGTTTGGGAGACTTTCGTGCGAGTATCATAAATGAAAAGCATTAGATGATTGGGTATAGAGAAAAAGAAATGGTTTTGTGGCTCTCTCCTATGAAGGAGAATTCACAATGAACATTAAAACTGGTGTTCTCACTGGAACACTTTGCGTATTTAGAGTTTGAAAAGTTGGAGAGGGCATGTATCATGAAAGAAAAGCTGCAGATAAGAGAGAGGGGAGTGAAATTACTTCTTCCACCACAAGATATGGAAGGAATTTCATAATTAGCATCACCACATATTATAGAAAGAATGAAACATTAAAATTCTCTAAAAGATCATCGAAAAGTAGGAGATTAAAGCAGAAATGTAGGGGGATTAAGGACCTATGGATAGGCTGCCAGAGAGCACATGCCAACTTTTCCAACTTTTACGACAGAAGCTGTAGATGACATGGGAGAAAATTGGTGGCATGGCCCTCTCTCTCTCTCTCTCTCTCACACACACACACACACACACAGAGACCCCAATGAAATAAAGAGCTTAAATAATGAAGACTAGCACATACCGAGTGATAACCAAGACGAAAAACCAAAGATGCATCATCATGCCAAAAATTTTGGACCCACTTAAGTCCCACAGAGTGCATATCCCTCAACAAATGAAGGTTTTCTTTACGAACATCTGCAAGGCCATCTAGTCCATCAAGTCTCACAAGTACCAACAAGTGCTTTTGGGCCTGCATCAAGGAAAATATACAAGCAATACATCACATATATCACAATAATGAAATTAGAAATAAAAACTTATAGAAAGAAGAATAAAATAAAGGGTGAAATCAAATGGAAGAGGTGACTCAAACCTTAGGATAAAGGTCATTTATTACAACATTCGAGTCTGAACTCTCTAAAACACTATTCTTGTGCCTTTCTGGGTGCATGGCAATCTGGTGCAGAGTCTGTGCCCATGAGCTCCAAGCCTTTGCAACCCTATCATTCTTACTAGTCTTATGCTCCTTGTTTTCCTCTGCCATGGATCTGGATGGGCTTCCAATATTCTCACTTAATCCAGATATGGTGTGATGACTCCTACCATGGTTACTATTTTCAGGAACCTTAATATGTAAACCACCGTTCACCAAAACAAATCCAGAAGAAGGAACTCCCTTGCATTTTTTATTACTCTCAGTTTCACAACAGCTCTCCCTCTTAGCTCTCTGTTTATGACTGTTAGAGGCCTGAAGAAACTGATCAAGAGGAATCTTTCCAGTGCCATTTGAAGATTCTAAAGTTTCTCGCTTGATAAGATCGCTGCTGCGAATTTGCAATTTTTGGGTCTTTATTAAAGAAGCAAAACACTTAAAAAGTGATGAGTAAGTCTTACAAAGAACTCTGCATCCTTCTACATAATCATTGTTAAGGTAGTTTGGTCTTTGTGGGTTCATATTCGGGCCAAGAACATGTATCACGTAAGTCATGCCCTCTCTTTTGTATAGAGGAGAATTGTGGGGGAGAGGAACAGCAATGGCTTCACCAGGGTTGAGACTAGTAGCACTTTCCTTTGTTGCAATCTCAAATTCTTTACCCGCTGCACTGAATATAGCCGCATTAACACCACCTCCTCCAGGCCTCAAGCGCCTGCACAGAAAAATTAATCATGGAATCTCAAGAAACCATAGATTTCTGCAGAAAATTTGATCCAAAAGAATGTTAGTCTACTGCTAATCATGGGTTCTTAGAAAAGATTAAGTAATTAAATTTACCAGTTCAATATAAGAATGTACATACTAAAGAAAAGATCAAGTAATCAAATTTCCTAGCTCAATATAAGAATGTACATACTACCAGAAAGAAGAGTGACATATTCTATCCTGTCCTAGATCTATGTTTACAATCTAGACCTTATTTTAAATTATATTGACACGTCAACTGAAGATCTATTGTCTTTATAGAGCTGCAAGCATTGTTCCTTTCACAAGCCATGAAACAACATACATGGCCCTATTAGATGCTTCGCTTTACCTGGTATTGGGAAGGAAGACCAACAAGATTGATGTATCAACCATATATCCTTGTGCATGATGGGTAACCTGCAAAAGGCCATATAAGAATCTAGGGATGCTGATTGGAACCAACAAATCATCACCATATGTCCCTATGGTGCATTCACATTGTGGAAGAGGTTATAGTGGATGTAGGGGGTGAAATTAAGGGTATAGGATTTGTTGTTTTTACTTGAAGGGATTAGAACCATGACAGCCAGGGGAAAGAAAAATCTATACAAAGAATCTATATGTTACATGTTGCTCTTTCCCTGCAGTTCTGAGTGTGGTTAAACAATGACTAACGCATTAGACCCCATCCCATCTCTAAGATTAAGCATGACTCTGCAAAAACAGTACTGGAAATGGATCACCTCTGAGAAGTGCACTTCTACCACATGCATGCTTACCAAACAAAAAACTGTTACCCTATTTTTCCACCATAATGTATATGAGAATAAAGATTTCAACAAGCCAGTGTTTGGGAGCAGGCCGATAGGAGATCACACGTGTACAGATAAGAATACAGTAGCAAACAAATCAAAACCAAATACAATAGTTTAAGTGCTCTTTAAAATAGAAAGTATTATACTTCATATTCTGATCAAATCTACAATCAGAAAGTAAACTCATACCAATTGGCAGCATTGGCAATCACATTGCACTGCAAACCTCCATCAGTGCAGAGTCGAGTTATGTCCCCGACAAATGTGAAGAACTTCTTTGGATCAATTCCTTTCTCCACTGCTTTGGACTCAACCATCGACAATATAGTGGATGTTTTTGTCAAGTCTACAAGAACTAGTCTCACGTTTTCTGCCCAATCCAAGAACTTAGAGACTTCTTCTACAATTATACCAGATGCCTTTTCTTTGTTAAATTGAAAATCAGATGTTGAAATTGATGGGAAAACTAGAGTATAGAAAGCATCATTTTGGGTAACAAAATCCATAGAAGCAAATTCCATCAAGCCTTTGTTATTGATGGTGCTCATGTCTACATCTCTCACAGATGAAATGGGCTCCTCAAGTTCATGGGTATGACAAATTTCTTTTCCACCACTTTCTTTACTTTGAGTAGCATCATCCATGGAAGGAGCATATTCCAACAAGCCTTCGTTATCAGTAACATCCATATTCACATTTCCCACTGATGAATTTGGATTATCAAGTTCACTAGTATGACAAACTTCCTTCCCAACACTTTCTCGATTTTGTGGAACACCATCCATGGAAGGCACAAATCTCAAAAATCCTTTGTTATTAGTAACATCCACATTCTCATCACCCTTTAACAAAATTGGCTTCTCTGGGTCAGTAGTAAGAGAATGTTTTTGTGTAGCATTTTCTTGACTATTTATTGGGGCCTCTGCTTTCTTTAGGAACTTCATAATGCCAAGTTGAACTTTAGACTCTGCATTTCTTTGTCCAAAACACCCATGCAAAAGACTGTCAGACAGTCCCAATGATCCATATGTACTTAGTGCATTCTCAACATCCTTTTCATTTTGGCAAAATGTAATTCGAGAGAACCCTTCACTGAGCTTTGGCACATCTTTATATTTTAGCATACGATTAACAACAGCTGCTGCCCTTCCTCCTTGTAAGCCTCCTTCATGTCCGGTACGCTTCACTGATCTTGAAATGCAAAGTGACGCTGGCAGATCAAGAACCACAGCATGCACATCAACTTTTGGCCCATAGAGCTTTAAAAACTCGTCTCTTTGTTCTCTTTCTAGATTGCATCTATCAATAAGAACATTTATGCCATCCTTTAAGGCTTCAGTTGCTTTTTTTAGACATTGGGCTTTGGTCCCCGCTTTTCCATTTGCAATTGTGTCCTGAAAAGATAATAAACAAATTCCAAATGTGAGATTCAGGTTTGTTATCTAATTTGAAAAAGAAGAAGAATGGCCAAGTATGTTCCACAGGCTTCGATAATGTATGTCAATTACTCAAATGCCTAAAGATGCACAAAAATAAATAAATTGACGAATTCAACAGAGGTCAGAAAATGATTTCACTAAAAGAACCCATTGGCAGCACACAAAAGGGAAGACAATGTTGAAAATACTTAGACATGAACAATGATGTTCCCGAAAACTCCCGTCAATAAGCATTAAAATTTTGGGGAGAAAAGCTTTGGCACCCTCTTTTTTATGGGAAGATAAGCATTATTCCTCATTCCAGTACAGCATTGTCACTTGCATTTAGTAGGTATGAGCAGACTATATATATGAATGTACGAGATCAGTTAAAAGCTAGATAACCATTCCCCAAAATTTTCATGCCAATACAGCATGCATTTTCACATGGTACCAGTGATATAGTGACTACCTCTTGAGCACTACCAGTGACATTTTCAACTTGCTGCTATTGAACCTTCCTTTTGTATGTCCACTCAACACTTGCTTCTATAGGGCACCCTTGAGCTTTTCACATCCTCTAGTCCTATTCATCCACTATTTTCCTATTCTTTTTATCCTTCTGATCTTCCATCGTTTTCCCCTTCACATGCCAAAGAGCAGCCCTAGTTGTAGAACACAGAATGGGTGAGAATACACCTCTCTATGTGCGAGTGTATGTGGATATTTGAGGGGAAATGCCTTGACAATGTTCAACGAAACCATGTTCAAATTTGAATGAAGCTCTCATCAAGCGAAATTTGCTAACATTTTTAAAATCCTCTCAAAAAGCTATTCGGATTGAGGTAGAACCTCTTGGAGTTGTGGCCCCTCAAGGCCTTGAAGCCCAACATATTTATTGCTCCTGATAGCTCTTGATCACAGTGGGATGAGCAAGAGCGATGTGACACTAGGATCTTGGCGTACTGGGACAAAGAGCCACAAACCTGTGCATCATGAGGCTTGAGTATGTGAGAGGTATTGAGAGGGCTCACAATTACCTCTAGAGTCTAGACAGGGTCGGATTGTTTTATACCTCATGACGGTGTGTTGGCCAGGGCAACGAGTAACATTGAGCATGCTTAATTGTAAGACCTCTCCTTTCAAGAGTACCATTGAGAAATGACAAAGGATCATTAAGCATGATTCATTGTTTTATTCCATTTTTGCAAAATGACAAAGGACTCTGCCCCCGTGACCCACATGTCACGCCCAAATAGCCAATTGGTGTCATGTGTGTGGCTCTACGACATTGCCATGTGTACGACAAGGGGATGACATCACCTGCTATGGGGGATTCTTTTGTCCTCATGTAATTGTGATGTGTAATTTTAGTGATTAAAGAGAATTTTTGAAATGGAGAAATTATTTTGGCACATGTTTAATGCGGAGGATTTGTTGGTTGTGTGCACATGGGGTGATCTTCTAGAAGGAGTATAGGGTTTGATATTATCATTGAAACATTGAATCCCTAAGTCCCATTTGAATTAAGCTCGTAACCACTTATCTCTATATGGCATTGTATGCACACAAAGATGACATGGAATTGAAGGGAAATATGAAATTCAAATTGTTTCTAGAAGATTACTTAATTCCATGAGTGGTACCCTCCTATGTAAGCTTTTTCATTCTATTTAGTTGAGTTAGCATAGTTAATTATGGAAACAAGTTCAATTTCAACCGAATTTATGTTTTCAATGATGGGAAATTTGGAGAGAATTTAGCAATTATTAGGCAGATAATGGTGTTAAATCTCATCCACTTATCAAGATGGCATAATGAGTGATGAGTTGCTAGGATCAAGCCCTCTCTCATGCCATGGATGACTTGCTTTTTTTTTTTTAGGAAAAGCCATGGATATCTTGCGTTAATGGCTAAGATTAACTCATCTAGAAGTATCTACTACATAAGACTATATATACCCCCTTCGATCACCCATTGGGTCTAAGAAATATAAGTGACACGCCCTCCGTTTGACTCTCTCTCTCTAAACTCTCCTAGTGTGGCACTGCTCCTTAGGCCCCCCTCTTTCTCTCTCTCTTCATTTGAAATGTGTTTTCTAGTGTGAGAAAGAAAGGAGAAAAGAATGAAAATAAAGTGAGCAAAAGTGAGACTGAGGCTCCATTAAAGCTTCATCTCAAGTTTGGTTTTAAAACCCTAGCACCATGGTCAAGCATTGCATCCTTGGAGCTTTTGATGGCTGTAAATCTCAATTTACAGCAAGGTATTAAAGCCTTTTACCTTCTTGTTTCATGAGAATTTGAGTTCAAATTGATCCATGAGTATGAGCCCTTGATTCCTATTTCATAGATTTAATTTTGGCAAGAATTCGATGGAGTATTCTTGAGATTTAATTGACTGATTTATGCAACTATTTGGATCCAAATCAGTCAATTAATTCACTTTGTTGATGGAAATCTTAAGAGGAATCTATGCCAAAATTCTCTCACCTAAACTACATTTCTCTTCAGAATTTGGATCCTATTTCTCCCACATTTTTTCCCACAATTTGGCCAAAATTCTGAAGCCTTCTCTATGTTGAAAAGTGCAACATAAGTGTAGCTTATATGATGCTTAATTGCTTCCCATAAATTTGATGTGAAATTGGCCATGATCTGGGTGCCACTAAGTAATCATTCCATAGTATGTAGCTAAGTCCTTGGCTGTAAACCGGGCACAAAGAGCTCACCCTATTGACTTCCTATGATCAAATATAATGAGCACCTCTAAGTGTTTGTTTGGTGACGAGGGAGATTGCATTTGAGGTGTTTGATGTAATTCCAAAGTAATGTATAAATTTGGCAATGTAATTTGTATAGTATTGTACACTCACTCTCCGTAGTGGATTTGTATTTGGACTTTCTCAAGGGACCTAATAGAGTTGTAATTTTATTTTATTTTTAAAGTGAGTGAGAAGCCAAGTTTAGAGTCTGGAAATTGTAAGTAATTGTCAAATTTTGATGTAAGATCCATGTAATTTTGAAGTGTCTTGCATTGAAATGAGAAAATTTTAAAGTGTTATCACTTGAACTTGGCTTTATACACCATCAGAACCAGAATACGAAGTCAAAGCACAATCAACTACTAAACCTCCTTTCGAAATGAATTTGGGGACTAAACTCGGGTAGCCATGAGCTCAGCAGACAAGAAAAGGGAGCCTAGATAATGTTGGATGATTTTCAGAGAAGATATATTTACAAAATAATTCAAATGGCCTGAGATATTGGATCTTCATAGTAACTTTGAAGGTATAGCTATAGTTACCCAAATTATCCACCCAAGTTAGTGATTCCCGTTCAGAATCGCGATTCTACATTTCTGTGAATGAATCGGCACAGATCCTGATTACTGGAAGTTAGGAAATTACGATTCCACATTTTATGAATCGTATTTCCATTTCTTTCGAATCTATATTCCACCTTACTGAATTTTGTGATTTATAGATGCACAAGACTGTGATTCATCCATTATGGGACCTCATTTCCAATTTTTATTTAAAGGTACTCAAACTTGTTTCCAATACTTGTGGAGAACTATGATAAAGGGCACTCAATACATCAACTCCAATGTTTGAGGAGGGCTGTCAGAGACGTCGATTCCAATAGTAGGGGAGCTTGGGGTAAGCGTATTCAATATATGGAGTCCAATACAAAAAGGAATTCTTGCTTAAAAATAATTTGGAACCTTAAAATCTTTTGGTTTTTGGAGCTTATTTCTTGATAATAGCTTTTCTAAGAAAGGTTAACTTGAATAGAGAGTAAAAGGAGAGAACAGAGAGAGAGAGAGAGAGGAATGCTTTTCCACAGACGGAAAGCTACAAAACCCTTATGAAAAGGGGGATGAGAGAGAGTAGGATACGAAAAACATCATTTTAGCAGTTACAGTGACAAGAACAACGCAACCAACAAAAAGATGTTTGTCCCAAAAAATTAAGTATGGACTAGTGCTGCTCCATGTTTAGCCAGAGAGTCCACTGCATGGTTCCCTTCCCTCCATGTATGCCTCCATGAGACGAGTATATCCCTGCAAATATGGTGAATCTCGTCAAAAATGTAGCCAAGTTCCAGGGGGGAGGAGAGAAATTTGAGGACCATGCTATAACATTTTTAGAGTCTCCTTCAAAAATGATAGGCTCGGAAGGGTGGGGGAGACACAGTTTGAGGCCTATGCACAGGGCAGTAGCTTCTGCCTTCATTGAGTCTGCGTGACCAATGGATTTGGAAAGGGTAGCAATAGTAGATCCAGCACTATTTCTGAGTATTGCCCCTATCCCAACAGGTCCTGGATTTCGTAGTGAACAGCCGTCAAAGTTAAGTTTAAGTTGACCAGGGTCAGGGGATCTCCAAATGAACTGTGTGATATGCCTCTGCAGTTATGTTGTAGGATGGCAGTCCAGTCGTTGAAGAAGACAGAGTGAGGAAGACCTTTAAAATTTTGATTGTTGGTTGCCCAAAACACGAAAGAGGATTTGAGCTTGGGAAAACAAGTTGGGTATGTGGATGAGACTCCCCTGAAGATTCGATTGTTTCTCTCATTCCAAATGACCCAAATTCTTGCTGCCACAGCAGATTTCCAGATAATAATCCCTGGATTTCCCCAAGGGTAAGGTTGAATGCTGGAAAGGATTACCGAAACAAAGGGTGGAACAACCCACTTCACCCGGAATAGACATAATAATGTACCCCAAATGGAAAAAGCATAGGGGCAGTGTAGGAAGAAGTGGTCATTTGTTTCCTCTTCTTCCAATTAGAGTACACATCTATTCGATAGGTGTATGCCTCTTCTTGTAGCCAGTCCACAGTAAGTGCCCTTTGCTAAAGGGCGATCCACATGAAGGTCTTGACCTTGGGGGATGCGAGAGATCTCCATGCCTTAGCCACAATAGAGGGAGAAGCATGAGGGAAAGTTGGGGGGGGAAGTGAGAAAAGAGTAGAAGG